GTGTCGTTAATGGAAATACTAATTTATTATTACCGAGGCAGCTAATGCAAGGAATTTTTTAATTTCCGGCTTTAACGTGGCGGGAGCTTATGAATTATTAAAAGCCTCCATCCGTTCCTTTCTCTTAAATTATCCTTTATCATTATTTTATGTCTTCTTCAGCGGACCATCGCGCTTAATTGGCCAGCGAGGGTTTAACCCTCGTACCAAAATAACCTACGGAATTAATGACAAACAAATTTTAATCAAAACGTTGGACGTAAAAAATGTGTTTCGTAAAAAAATCCGCTGTGATGATAAACCTGCAGCATAAAGGCTTTGAGCAGAGCGGCTGGCAGGTCGATCTCTTTGCCGTTTTATTCACCTAGTAAACAAGGTTTTTAATAGCACTGTAAAGAACAAGACGTAACAGTATACAACATGGTTAATGACGATCGTCGCTTGAAAGCTTCTGCGTGCTTACATAGTAGCTAACGCGCTTTCATTGGCACTACTCATACAATGAAGTACATTGCATTAAAATAAATTTAAAAGCGCCCTTTATGTAACTTCGCTTCACAAACAACGAAATACTTCCTTTTAATAGTGGGTCTCAAAATACTTACGACATACATACCTCTATAGCTGTTAACAAATTACAAAATAATCTCAATTAATTTATGACTGTTTAATCCCTTCCCCTTTTTCGCTAGTGCCGTGCAGAAAACCCGTTACGGTACCAACAAAGCAGGAAGGTTCGCTTTTACCCGCAAGTCTTCGATTGTTTCCGCCTCGCCTCTCAACGAATCACGATCTTCTCAGTCCCAGAGCGCCGCAAAAAAAAAAACGAAAAGGACCCAGCTAAATTCTCGCGTCTCGTCTCCAATATCGCAAAGCCCCGGTTGACGTCATTGAACTTACTCGAGCTGGAACATTTATCTTTTCTTTTTAATTAATCATGAGACTTAGGGAATACCTATCGCACACCACAGCCCTTGTATCTGTTGGTGAGGGTAGTGTGGAGCTCGCACCCACTAAACTCCTTCCTATTCCCATTTCAAAGCGTCCGTCTATGGGCATAAATCCAAAGGTGTCATTTTTTCGCTTCCTAATTCTTACTTCATCGTCTTCTGCAACCGCCGGTCGCCCTCGCTTCCTTCCCTCTGGTTTGTATTATTTTTTCTATATGTTTATTAATCTTCGCCCACTTATCCGGGCTAGTGTCCGGGTTTTCCAGCATCGTTGTCACCAGATTCTCGGGTTCTATCACTTCCCCTATCGCGATCGCGAGTCACCAGCGGGCCGCTTACCATCTTGGACACTGGAATACTGCTCGTCGTCCTTACAGTTTTCAGAAGGAACTGGGTCATCCAATAGTTGATGGTGCTGTGGCTCCATCTGACCCACTGGTCCCACTCCCCCTGCCAAATGTTCATAGTTTCCGTTCTCTTCCTTCCCATCGCTCTCTCTTTCTCCAGTAGCATCAGAGGTGGAGTACTCGCAGCCGCGATCCCCAGTGCCGTCTTGCGCTGTATCGTGTGGAGTTATTCGCGCATCTTACGTGTAGTCTTTTTAGCACCACATTTTTCACTGCTGCAATTAACTGGAGGCCGTGCTCCTCTATGGACGCCTGTATTTTCCTCACCGCCCGCCTCGTTACTCCTGCCACCACCTCGAGACTTCTGTCTGTCACCACCATCGCCAGCTCTTCGGCCTAAGCCACAAGATCCACCCCTCTGGGAACCTCGAACTCCAGCACGGCATCGTATGCAGCGTTCCACAGTCAGGGCCCCAGAACCGAGCCCTGTGGCACCCCTCCATCAATTTCGAAGCTGTAGACTACTCCCGACGGTAATTTAGCCTCTGCCATTCTTTCTGTAAGGTACACCAGTATTCTAAAGGTCAGAGGCACCCCCTTTCGCTCGAGTGCCAACACAATGACATATAGCTAGGAACCGTATTAAAGGCGTTGATGACGTCCAAGTAGGTCACTACCGCGGCCTCCCTGGTTCTCCACGTGGCTCTCAATGCCTCTTCGGCTCTGGCGTGAATCGTTATCAAAGCATATCTAGTTCCTATTCTTTTTCCGAAGCCGAATTTTCTGGTTTCCAGTCTCCTGACCAAGATCCTTTCAAAAAGCTGCTAAGGTGGCTTATGAGCGCTATCGGACTCACCGTACCGTTCCTAGGTCCTTTTTTGGAATTAAAGCTATCAACGCTATCCGGTCCCGGCACCTTCTTTCTAGGCCGTCTCTGTAACCTAGTTGTCGGTAATCAGCTCTGTCGAATCCGCCATCGTTCACGGCGCGTGGCCGTCTTTCGCACAGATAACGCATCTCCTTGGGTACACGCACTTGTCTTTATAGTAGTCTTCTTGCTCGCGGTTTCGGCACTTATTCTTGTAGTCCCGCGCGTTGAACTCTCCGTTCTCTTAGCACTTCTCAGCACTTACCGCACTTACTAACTTCCACCTTGTTTTGTATGAAGCAGCTTTAATACCCACCCACAGTCGGCTTACACTGTCCGTTACACTTTCCTTTTTCTTTGGGATTACCAAGGCTACGGTTTTCATCCCTTTCTCATTTTCTGGTAATTCTGAGACCTCGACCGCATCCACTATGTCGGCATTGCCTCCGTTATCTCTTCCTTATTGGTAATTTCATCGTTCTCTCGGATATAATATGTTGCCCAGTTCTTCCCCGAACTTCTTCTTTAGTATATTCTACCAAGCGGTCATGTTGCCTATCTTTTTATCCAGGATCAATTTTAGATGTCCCTCTTTTGCCTATTTTCCTTCCCCATTAACTATAATAACTACCGATTCGGTCGAATTACTCCCTTCGTTTGTTTCCCTCTGCCTGAGGCCCTTTCCGTCCACGCAGTACGCTATGCGTCTGTTGTAGCAGACAAAATCCACTATCTTTCTGATTAGCTGTTTCTACTGAGGTACCACATATATTTTGGCTGCAGTGAGTCTTCTGGTAGCCCTCTCCGACACGTCATAAGTTCCTCTGGCCTTTTCTTGCTCTTCTCCGCCTTCCAAGAACAGATGTCGATCTTTCTCCCCGGTTTCGGTAACCTCCCCTTCCTCGAGGGCCGCCTCCGTCTTCCGAAGTCATCATTCCCCCTTCGAAGGTCTGTACCTGTTTGGCGAACTCGAGACGTCTTCGATCAATTTCCTCTTTCTCCTTGCTATATAGGACGATCTCACTATCCAGCCAATTCCTATAGTTAGGGAACTCTCCTCGGGTGCTTTGTTCGGGCCACTTGTCCCTGACCGTATCCCATACACCCTCGAAGTCTGTACATGTCTATCGGCTTTTGTATGCGGCCACTTGCCTGCTCCTCTTCTGTAATGGCGCCTTATACCGTTTGCATACCATAGCGGGTACCCGTTATTCCTTTTTACTTTCGAGGTTTGCTCGTAGAAATGGGCCATCAGGAGTTTAGTTGCATCGGAAATTGGGCCGTATGAAGGTGTCATTTTTAAATTTTTTTATATCTAAATAATTTGCTACTTTTTCGCGCTATTACAAGTTGGAAATAAAAAAAATGAATTTTTCGGCCTATATTACTCCACATAAAGCCTCAATAATCATCTTACAGATATCGTGAACCAAACGAAAATTTATCAGCAACCTTTGCCTTTTCTATATATTTAACATTATCTGCGCTGTTTTATATGTTATCCTATCAGTATCAGATTCATTTTTTCCTTTAATTTCTGAGTAGCTAAGTGTTTTTCATCATCTATAACGAAAACCTTGTACGCTTTGGCATATATTTTTTTCTTGATCATTCCTAACCAATTTCCTCCTAAACTCCAAACCTTAAAAGTTCTATTCTCCCATGCTAATTTTCTATCCGACGCGACGTTCCAACCCTATTTGCACCTCTGTTCCAGTTTTGGTAAAAAATATCTAGGTCGTCCAGCTTTTGGGAGATTTATACTTTGTTTACAAACCGTCAATATTGGATAAATAGCCCTAGGTCTGCTAATGGTGACGTGGCGCTTAATTTGAGTTCATGAGTTCAAGGCGTACAACTCCTCTCGCCTCCTCAAAGTCTTTGGTAAATGCTCCAAAATTTAATGCTTGCCGGTAAAAATAATCGCGAGCTTTAAAAAAAAACGCTAGCCTATTTCATATGCCCATTAATAAAAGCGTTTTTATTTTCGTCAATGGTGCTGATTCACGTCCTCTTACGCAAATGTATTGATGCTTTGTTAGTTCTCGCCTTTTTAATTCACCTAACCTTTAACTATAGGACCAACCGTTCTTAAATCACAGATTTTGTATTGCCAATGGTTGCGTATAGTTCATACGCTTATTATCTTTACGTGACTGCTGCCACGGAGCGAATGCCACTTAATGTCCTTTTCCCTGCGCAGATTCGTGCACTGAATCTTATTCCGCTGCATTTTTTTTTGCCATTTAAGTTACAATGTAAAATTCAAATTTTTGCCATGCAGTAGGACAGTAAAAAGGAATCAATTTTGTGTTGGTCAGTGCAGGTGGATTTTTATCAAAACCGGCCAATTAATGTGCCCGATAACAGCTTTTAAACACACATTTGTCCAGATAAGACTCCTTCCTTACGTCGATTTTAAATTAAATTATCCCTTATTTATGCGTTCCCTAAATTGCAGACACTCATTAAATAAAATAACAACGCTTAAATTACTTATACAAGTTCACAATTTACTATACAAAAAACCGAACAATACACTAAGCACTAAATAAAATCCTTGAATTCTGTGTCTATTTGACAAAGTGCCCCTGGGATCCTAAACAGATCAATTCCTAAATTACGTTCACACCACGTAAATTTTCAACTACAGGGTGGGAGAGAAAAAAATAATGCCAACGGCATACCTGCTACTTGAACACCCTGTGTATAACATTATTAATGAAAAAAAACGCAAGTGAAGGTTTATCACTACTGACATCGAAATAGAAATAAATAAACTCTGTAAACAGTAAATCTGTGTGTAATGTAAAACAAAGTGGTTATCAAGTCAATAGGTGATTGCATATCTTTCCTTTATCTATCTATATATAGTTACATACTCTTAATTGAAAGAATACAATGAAATATTTTAATTACTTAATTGATTAAGATGTTGACTGTGCTCGTGGTGATACTGGCACTTGCATTTATTTTCAAAATACACGTTCGTAACAAGTACTCATACTGGCAGACGAAGAAGATACCATACGTACAGCCACATTTCCCGCTGGGAAACGCAGAAAATCCCTTCAGTCGCAAACGACATTTCGGAGAATGGCTCCAGATGCTGTACCGTACGTTCAGGGAACAGAACACGAAACTAGCCGGAATTTACATCGGTACAAGTCCGTATTATTTTCCAGTAGACCCCGACGTAATCAAATGCATCATCCAAACGGATTTCCACCATTTTCCCGATCGCGGTTTCTATTACAATGAGAAGGACGATCCGCTAAGTGCCCATCTGTGCGTCATTGGTGGGGAAAAATGGAAAAACCTGCGGGCCATGCTAACCCCGACCTTTACGTCGGGTAAGATGAGGATGATGTTTGATACTTTACTAAAGTGCACCGACCCTATGGAGAAAAGTATGAGTGAAGTCGGTGAGAAGGGACTACCAGTTGACATAAAGGATGTTGCTGCACGTTTCACTACCGATGTTGTCGGTTCTTGCGCGTTTGGATTGGAGTGTAACAGTTTCGAAAGTGTTGACGCCGCGTTTCGTGTCCACGGTCGGAAGATCTTTTCACCACGAACCAAAATGGAAACACTCAAGATTCTGTTTTTGACCGCAAGCCCTGTGTGGGGTAGAAGACTGGGGTTGTCATTGTTTCCAAAGGAAAGCACCGAGTTTTTCTTCAACATTGTCAAGCAGACCGTTGAATACCGACGCGGGAATGGCATACACCGCAACGACATCTTACAAATTCTGATGGAGGTTGGCGAATCCGATGGGGAACACTCACTCACAATAGCAGAAATAGCAGCCCAAGCGTTCGGTTTTTTCGTGGCCGGTTTCGAAACATCTTCCACGACTATGTCATTTTTCCTTTACGAGTTAGCGCTGAACGCTGATTTGCAGCAGAAGGTGCGAGATGAAATAAAATTGGTTTTAGGAAAGCACGCCGGGAAGGTAACGTACGAAGCAATCATGGAGATGAAGTTTATGGACCAGGTCATCAGTGGTAAGCTCCCACAGTTTCCACCGACGACGACGTAACTCAGTTCATTTCAGAAACACTGAGAAAGTATCCACCCCTCTCTTTTTTGACAAGACAGTGCGTTAAGAACTACCGCCACCCGAGTCACGACGTTGAAATTAAAACTGGCGACATGATCCTGATCTCCCTACTGGCTCTTCATAGAGACCCCGAATACTTTCCCGACCCCGAAACGTTTGACCCGGAGAGATTTTCAGACGAAAACAAGAACAGCATCCGGCCTTTCTCGTATATTCCGTTCGGAGGGGGACCTCGGGGTTGTCTTGGTAAGAATCTGTCACGTCGTACGTGTGTCCATAATTTCCAAGATTTTAGGTGTGAGATTCGGAAGACTTCAGACGAAGGTTGGGCTGACGTGTTTGTTAAAAAACTACTCGTTTTCTCTCAATCCAAAATCGCGAATTCCTCTTACGTTCGACAAGTATAGCTTTATACTATCCGCGGAAAAGCCAATTTTTCTAAATATTGAAAAACTTCATGCAGGTAGGGCGTAAAAAGTATTTCCAAAGGCCTTGTATATCATTAATAAGGAATAAATTATTGAAGAAGTTTCCAGTGCACTCAACTGTTTTCTCTGTAAGGCATTGTTAACATTTTGTGGAGGTAGTCTCGGATTACCCTCCTTAAGTAAACGGGCGTCTCTTGTTTCTCGCATATTGCCTCCCTTACATCGCTTTCAGTCTTCGGGATAAAGTCCGTTGGTAATAAGTTTGGTAAATAACTTCACCACCATATCGGGTTTCCCCAACGCCTGACCCTGGCCGACAACCCCCATCACCCCCTAAGGGCTTGAAACTTTGTTCAGGAGGTCTTCTTGCCTGAGTAACAGTCTATCATTTGTCTCTGTTGTTTTGATCTTTTTAGTTATGATCCTGTGGCCCATCCCTCAGATGTCATTATTAAGCTCTTCACACCGCAGCTTCCATAAGCGGTCATTGCCTTTCTTTATCATGCTCTTTAATATTCCTCTCTCTGTTGTATGCTTTCCTCTCGTTTATCGCATCTGTGCTTTACTCGCCTCTCTCTCACTGAGCCATCCTTCTCAGGCAAATGCGTATTTTCCTCTGTTCCGCGAGCTCCTCAGTCCACCGATAAACCCCTCCTCTTCTAGCCAGAGCTGGGTCGATCGTTCTAAAAAACCGCTCGAGCGACGAGCACTCTAATTGTCTTAAAAATACTCGCGAGCATCGAGTTGTTTTGCAAAGCGAAACCGCAGGCGAGTTCCGAGCACTCCTAAAAGTGCTCGAACGGTTTATCGCGAGCGCTCGGGAAAAATGCTCGTGAGCGGAAAAAACGCTTAAGAGCGGAAAAAGCGCTCGGGAGCGGAATAAACCCTCGCGAGCTTCGCTTAATCCTTCGGCGCTTGAGGGGGGTTAAAAGCGCTTACGAGCGAAAAAAAAGGCACGGAGCGGAAAAAGCGCTCGCAAGCGGCAAAAGTTCTCGCGAGCGAAAAAAGTGCTTGCGAGCTGAAAAAACGCTCATGAGCGGAAAAACCCGCTCGAGCGCCGAGCACTTTAAGTAAACGCTCAAGTATCGAGTACCAAGCGGCTGTTCCTAAAAGTGCTCGTGAACGGATCGCTCGCAAACCCTTTTTTTCCGCTTGGAGCACTTTTTCGGCCGAAACGCTCGCGAGCAGTACCCAGCTCTGCTTCTAGCTTTGGTTCTCTTTGGCATCGTTCTCTCGTATAAGCTATTCAGGAGTGTGCCTATATCATAAGCGTCCCCCAGATCTTCGGGCTGAATTTGTGCTATAATTTCCTGCAACCCTTCACTGTTCAACCTGCGTGCATTCCAGGTTGTGCTGCTGATTTCCTCCAGAGGTTCCCGACTCAGGAGTTCCTACTTGAGGTTACACAGCACGTAATCGTGGTCGCTTAATTCGAAACAAAGATAACGTCTATTATAGAGACTTGCTCTCACCTCGTGAACGTGCACTCAGCCACTCACTACCCTTGTATCGGTCAACTCCATAAAAGCCCACCCCCTCTGATTAGTCACCTTGCTCCCTCAGTGAACATTAAAGTCCTCCTCAACTACTAGCTTATCTTTAGATTTAGCGAGAGATACACACTGTAAACTATCCATATCCATATTACGTATTTGTCTCCCATACACACCTTTCCACCTCCAAACTCCGCTTCCCATCTCGCCCTCCGATTGAGAATACTCCCGCCCTGCGTCGGTGGGCTTTATGCCCCCTTTCTTACTTGCGCCACCAATCTCCGACTGTGTTATGGCGGCGCATTTGTTTTCTACGGCGACCGCCTACGCCAAATCTATAACTTTCCTTCTATTATTGAAGTTTATCTGGAAAAACCTCTTCGCGAGACTATATAAAGAAGAAAAGGAAGAGAGGAAAAAATCAAAGATACACTCACTTGAAACTAATATCACGTACAGTTGACACATATCCACACATGTCCTAGACACCATCTCAGGCAGCACAACATAAGAATATCATCAGGATTTCGCTTAAAATATCACAGATTACATCATCACTCAGTATCACAGATTTATCACCAACTTGTCTCGCTGCCCCCCGACCCAGCTCGGTCTACGCAATATCAGGGTGGAGAAACCTTATTGAAACCACACTTCTTTCCATATTGCTCCCCGATCTACTATGAGGGCAGTCATCACCTACGTGACCCGGTTTCACGCAGTGGAAGCATAACGTCGATCAATCCGGGCCCTTACATTCCACCTGCCTGGTGCCGCTTCTCCTAACATCTGAAGCACTTTGGTTCCACTTCCTTTCTCGAATCGAATACTCGGATGTGGCATGTTGTACACCCGGCCTTAATAATGCCTTCTTGTGCCAGCACCCTTACTTCGACCTTAGCGGCTTGCCGGCCTTTATCAGACCTTGTAATATTTTTAAGTCTTGGGTTCCCCTCTGGGCTGGCACCGGCCTGCCTTAGTGCCTCTTTTAACCCTGTCGAAGTTCCTTATCTCCATTGGGAAACATTCCTGGAGGACCCTAAGTTCGTTCCCCTCCATCACCTCTTCTATCAGTTCTTTTAATTGGCTCGGCCTCCCTCAGACCCCTCTCCACCTCAACTAAAATATCGCCTTTCCTGGTTCTCGAGTATTAGTCGCCGCGATCTTTTGCTGAATCCTTTCGATACTTTCACTTCCTTTTAACTTAATGAGGACCGCCTCTGACCTTGAGGGATTCTTAGTGGGGGATATCTGCCAGCATTTGCCCCATAGGAGCCGTCATGGTTATCTCAGCTCGGTCCCCTATTAGATAGATCGCCGATCCGTAGAATGTCTGCCTTTCCTATCACTATCTTCTTACTCTCAATCGCACTGTTCTGGGTGACCAGCTTCCCAATGAGCTCTTTGTTCTGTATGCTCTCTTTGGGTATGCACGTTCTCTTAGTGATGTGGGAATACTCCCCTATGCCCATTTGTACTCTCTTTCTTACTTCTTTTCCCATTTGTGTTTTACAGTTACATTATAATAATATTCAGGGGTCATGACTAATTATCACATTTGGTATTTATGCAAAATAAGATAACAAACTCAACAAATACATTATGCTTAGACACAAAACAAAGAAAAACCCCCCAACAATCGCACAAGCCGATCACAAAAATCATAACTGAATTTGAATTCCCCTTCCTGCGAATTGTTAAAATAAGAAATGTGGCTCCATGGTATACTCTAACGACGTGCACAAAATCTTCAAGATACCCTGAATTGAATAAATACCAGACGTTTACCACGGCCTCAATTCTCAAATTTCAAGATTGACCTAGGCTTTCAAAACCCAAGTTTCGGAGTTCCACATCAAAACTGCTGACTATTTAAGATCTACAATTCGTACTTCGTACTACTTGGCCACCTGCAACGACAAAAATTCCCTCTAAAATATCCTCCTCTAATTCCATCATTCAAAGGTTATACAAAAGACACAACAATTTATTCGCATTTTATTCCATCAATCGCCGACATAATAGAAAATAACGAAAAACGTACTTGAAATTGAAACCTTTACTTGCATTCGTTTAAAAACAACCCTAACTATTACTAGCAAACGACAAGATTCCGTTTACAATTGATGCACACTTATAATAGATGATTGACAATTGCTTTAATTACCTTTTTTCTACTAAAACAAGTTGGAATTCGTAACATTAACCGTATTCCTCTAAAATGTACTTGGATGTGCTTGTGTGCCATAACTATATTCAAGGGTAGGAATGTTTTAGCGCACGTAGGGCGCCTCTAGTAGAATGAAATGTGATGGCTAAAGTTAGCATAATACAGCCCGAAATTTAAAACGGGAAGCTGCTTGAAAAACTACCCTAGTGTCAAAATTAGTTGGTCACCCAAGCGCGAAACTTAACGAAGCACTTACGGTAATATTCCTGAGCGACCTTTATAATGGTATGTGATACTGAAATTTTGCGATAGCTCCAAATCCTTTCAGGGATGAGTTCCGACGTGCTCTTAAATAAAATTCCCATCTTTTACGATATTAAAAATTCACCCAGTATTGGTTCGCAGAAGCAGCCCAACGTGACCTTAATAAAAATTTTTATACTGCGAAAATAATTTCGACGAGTACACATTTAAGATTTATGGAGGAAACACAAGCTGGGATTAAATCCGAACTACTCTGAGAATGTTTAAACTAGGGCGTTATTGATTTATTAACTAGCATCCGTATTAAAACAAAATAAGCAATATCGCGTTTTGTGGAAATATGAAATTCTCAGTATACGTATCGGTTAAGGGTAGAACGTCTGCGAATATTGCCTCGAACTACGTGCGCGTTCAAAGTATTATCAGCGATGTTTCTTGAGAAGATTGCATTCTCGAGTGGTGCACACAAATAAGAGAAACGCTTTGGAGGATGTATCATATTATACTGATGTGCAGGGAAAAACATTTTTAAGCGACTAACTGATATTTATTTATTTATTTATTTATTTATTTATTTATTTATTTATTTATTTATTTATTTATTTATTTATTTATTTATTTATTTATTTATTTATTTAATTATTTATTTATTTATTTATTTATTTATTTATTTATTTATTTATTTATTTATTTATTTATTTATTTATTTATTTATTTATTTACTTTTATTTATTTATTTATTTATTTATTTATTTATTTATTTATTTATTTATTTATTTATTTATTTATTTATTTATTTACTTATGTATGTATTTATTTGGAAACTTGTCACTCCGTGGACCGCGCCTGCAATGAGTTACAAACTACAACTTTTGATGGAAACGGATTTTAATCTCTACGGTACTGAAAAAATTGTTTACTGTAACAATTAATAATATCACCCTGTATACAACATTTGATTTCCTTATCGGCGGTTAAAGCGGCGCTAGGAATTAAAAAAGGAACTTCTACCTTCTGTATCCAAATCCTAAAAGAAGCAAGTAGCTTCGGAACAACACATTTCATAACGAAGCGCCTTCAGATACCGGGCGTTCATTAAAGCTAATGGACTCCAAGATGTACAGCGTGTTCATTAATGCTGGTATGAAAACTGAGTGCTTCGTTACAGGGTTCGCTT